AATAGCTTACAACACATTATAGCACTTTTAAAGGGTTAGTTTACCCAAAAATGAAAATTCTGTCATTAATTACTCACCCTCATGTTGTTTCAAACCCATAAGACCTTCGTTCCTCTTCGGAACACAAATTAAGATATTTTTGATGAAATCTGAGAGCTTTCTGATCCTGCGTCGTGGTACTCTCGTGAATGGTGGAGGAGACCGGAAGAGGAGAAATTGTTGAATAAAAGTCGTTATTTTTGTTTTCTTTGCACACAAAAAGTATTTTCGTAGCTTCATAAAATTAAGGTTGAACCACTGATATCACATGGACTATTTTAACGATGTCCTTACTAGCTTTCTGGGCCTTGAACATGGTAGTTCCCTTGCTGTCTATACAGGGTCAAAAAGCAAAAATATCTTAATTTGTGTTCAGAAATTGAACGAAGGTCTTATGGGTTTGGAACAAGTAATTAAGGGTGAGTAATTAATGACAGAATTTTCATTTTGGGTGAACTATCCCTTTAAGTAATTTCAATTAGATTACTCCATGTTAGATTATTGAAACGGGCATTAATTATTCATATATTTTACTTTTCAGTCACAGTTGCACCTCTGAAATGTTCTCCACGGTCTCTGGTTCGCTCTCGCCGATCTGGGCATATTGTGCCATCACCTGTCATCGTATCACCTGACCCAGACCTCCTGATTCCCATACGAACTCCACGACGCCGATATGGAGATGAAGAAGAAGAGCATATCAAATTCTCCCCTCTTGTGAAACAGTATGTCAGCCAGGCATTTTGTCCTTTGATTTTGCATTGCATAGAAAAGAGCAGCTCAGAGATTCTTAAAAATACTTTACAATAAAGTTCAATTCATTAATATTAGCTAATGCATTAGGTATCATGAACTAATAATAACCAACAATTTTTAGAGCATTTATTAACCCAGGTTAATGTTTATTTATGAATATCTTTTTTGGGCGAACATTTGCTGAGTGTCCATCTCTCTGACAGGGAGTCTATGGAAACATCTTCAGATACAGATTCTATCGGGTCCTCCATCAGCAGAATGTACAGCACCCTTGATGTCCCATCTCGGAGAAAATATATTTTCTCTGATAAAATGCCCCGAAAGATCTCCCTGGATGAACAAGACGACAGTCCCTCACGCAAAATCTCGGAGGAGGAGATGGACGAGTCTTTGATAGTGAACAACACCTCAAGGAAATTTTCACGAGATGAACTGGACATTAATACTCCATCAAGAAAGACATCTAGAGATGAACAAGAGGCCTCTGTGGACACTCCTAAACAACTGAGTAGAGGAGAAACTGAGGCCAGCGTTGACTCAAGGAAATTACCCAGGGATCTACCTTTCGATTCCACAATGAGGTACTACTCTACAGAGAAGATGTCTCCAGCAGCGATCAGCATGGATAGTCAGAGACAACGATCACTCAGAGACAGAAAAGATCATATGGACAGCATTTCTAGAGTGATACCAAAAGCAGAACTTGATATAGAGACCACAAGTGGAACTAGATATGCAGATGCCTTGAACACTTCCATTAAACACAAAGAAAACCGGGATTTTCCAACCAATATCCAGCGAGGAAGAGTGTTTAGGGAAAACTCCTTTGATGCCACCTTTGATAGTTCAGTGGAAAGCTCTAAAAAATTTAAGATGTTAGGCAAAACAGATTCAACCAAAGACATCCCTTCACGAATGATGGCACAAGATGAATTTGATGTGCCCAAGGATTTTGAAAGACTAAAAATAAGAGATATTTCCATGGATATTGCTTCAAGGAACATACTGAAAGATGAGTTCGAGAGAAGCAAGTCCTTTAAAGAGAACAGGGATATCCGCATGGAAATTCCGTCAAAAAAAATCTCTAGAGATGAGCAAGAAATCGCAATGGAGACACAACGAATACAACGCAAGATAGACAGCTCTGTGGAAACTCCCACTGGTAAAATACAAAGAGAGATGGTGGGTCTATCTGTGGAGGCTCCAAGGCGCAAGATATCGCAGGCGGTTCTGGTTGCAAACCCAGGACAGTTTGGCCCACCTGACCTCACCGTTAGTTCCCTGATGCTCTGGAAACCAGCCTCAGACTCGTTCAGCACACTAGTGTATGACGGCATTCTAGAAAAGTCCTATGAGAACCCTCTCATGCCTAGTCCTGGGGATCTCAGTCATGCAGCTTCAGTGTCTTCCTCTTCCCAAAGCCTTTTAGGAAATGAAGGTCAATCTGCAAATTCATCTTCTTCAGAATCTGGTGGTAAAGACAAGGGCAAGAAATCTTCAAAGCTCAAGAATATATTCAAAAAGAAAAAGGAAAAGGGAAAAGATAAAGACTCATAAAGGTCAACAAGAAGTAGGAATTTAGACACTTTTAAAAGGCCAGAGTCTCTACTAAAACTGTCTTTGAAAACTGCCTTGTAAACTATAACATATGCAAAGCTAAACATGCTGAATGGAGTGCCTTTGGATTTTCTTGCAAAAGTTTTGATGCCAAAATTTGGCATCAAACACCGACAATTATTTTCCAAAATGTAGTTTACAGACTTTACTGACCTTTTGACCTTGACTTGCACAGATTTTTATGACCTATATAAGTATTATTGTGGTGTCTGTCTGATTTTATTGTACAACACTTGGGGCAATGTTTTTTTTTTTCAGTGTGCAATATAATAGATTTGACTGGAGAAATATTCTTCTTGAAATTACATTTATCCTAATGTCATTGCAGATCTTTTGTGGGATCCCACCCTTTTCCATTCTATATGATCATGTGAAAATATTTAAAATAAAAATCAAATTGAAAATTTATATTAAAGGAATAGTTCACCCAAAAATTAAAATTTGCTGAATATTTACTCACTATCAGGCCATCCAAGATGTAGATGATTTAGAGAAATTTAGCATTACATCACTTGCTCACCAATGGATCTTCTGCTGTGAAGTATTTATAAGAAAGAAATACATCAAGACATTTTAACTTTAAGCTGTCGCTTCTGGCCAAAATACTCCACAATCCAGAGCCCATAATCCATAATAATGCTCCTTCAATAAACATACATCCCCTGTTGTCCTCTCAGAACAAAACCTACCAACATATTTGTTTAGAACTGTTTTGGACTGTTTTCATTTATAAACAGTGTTCGATCTGTACATATTTCTCTTCTGAATCAGACAAGATGACTTTTTCCACTGGATTTCACTGGGAGAAATTTTATGGATAGACGACTAGGTATGTTATAACATCTTCGTGATGGATTTGTTTATTACAAACTTGCAGCTTATCTCTTCACAAGATGTTAATTGATGGACTGGAGCTGTGTGGATTACTTGTAGATTATTGTGATGTTTTTATCAGCTGTTTGAACTCTCTGTCTGACAGCACCCATTCACTGCAGAGGATCCATTGCTGAGCAAGTGAATCTCTTCAGAATAAACAAGCTTATCCACATCTTGGATGGCCTGAGGATGAGTACACTGTCAGGAAATTTTCTTTTTTGGGTGAACTATTCCTTTAATCAAATTGGTTAACATTGCTGGAAATGTACATTCCAGCAGTCAGGGGTTTACAGATCTTTATCACTTTGAAAATAACCAGGCTGATACAGTGAACACTTTTGAGGCAAAATTAGTGTCTGGATTTGCGAAACGTTGCATGATTAATGACAACAAATGTCTGTGAATATTTTAGATAAAGAATTTATAGTGAAAATGTTTCAACCATATGACCTAAAGCAATAGCAAATAAAAAATAAGACATTCGCAAACACACCCCTAGACCTATTTTTGTTTCCAGAGATATGTAGTTAAAATAGTCTCATCTTGATAAGTGGAAGTTTTGACACAACATCTAAATTACATTTTTTTATGTCATTATTTTGAATGAGCAACCACCTTGTCGGCTAGAAGCATTAAACTCTCTAGTTTGAGTCTGCATTTTTCTTACCAATTTTAGAAATGTTTGATCTATCAGAAAGGGTGTTTTCCAGAATCTTTTGATGATTTGATGCTGTTCATGGGTTCTTGTAAAGTGGTAAATCATGCTTTTATGTTTTTTAACCACAAATGTTTCCAGTGGTTGTTACAGTTTTTTTTTTTTTTTTTAATCTGTGTGTTAATATATAGCTACAATGACTTCATTATTATTATTATAATAATCTATATATATTATAATAATCAATTGCATTTGAGGTTACATTTTTAACCCGCTGATACTGTTTTTTTAAAACTAACAATTCAAGAGGGGAGTTTAAATCGGTTTATGTGGAAACAGGAAAACCACAACTTTCCGATCTCACTGCACCAGTGTATATACATTTAGAGCTTGTTTAGTTTACATGACAAACCTGAATGGAAAAATATGTGGGTAGAGGTTGTGGTTACGGAAACGTCCATGTACATTTTATCAGGCTACAGAGCAATACACATCACAGTTAAATACATTCTCACAAAAAACATGCACACATTTAGCGAATTCAGGCCAAAACGAACATTTTGACTTTCACTAAAGAAAGAGGAATCAATGAAGTTCACTGCTATAGTTTTAGAAGTGACCTGTATAACAGGATGTGACAGTAGGTTTCCTGTTATGGCCTGCTTGAACATCGTTACCTCTGAAATTCTTCTAAGGACTTTTATAACGACAGTTAAACCTCAACATGTTTCTGCTAGTTACAGCATATCAATTCAGCTTCAGTTAGACATGAACTGATAGGCACAAATGATCTTCTGTGATGTGCTGACAACAATATAACATTTGATACATTTGATTTTAAATTAATAATTGTAAAGATCCCTTTATATTAGAATAAAAAATTTTTTTTTTGACAATTTTACTTTGAGAGTTTTTGAGAGAATCAAACTTTCTTTAACAACCAGATGATAAACATAATGTGTACAAATTTAAATACTAATGAATTTAATAAACACCTTAATCTAAGCAAAAGAAAAAATCCCCAACCTCTAAGCATATCAAAGCCCTTTATCAGAAATCCCTCCCACCACAGTCAGCCGGGCGACATTTACACTGAAGACCCTTTGCTTTTTTTTATCAGTCACTGAGATGGAGCGAGCGATAGTTATTGTCGTCACGCTTGTATGTAAGTCCATTTTTGTCTTTATTTGTTGCATTCATTTGATTTGATTGATAGTCATCTTTCTTGTTTTTGAACTTGTATCTGCTTTTGCAGGTGTTTTGTTCTGTGAACAGCAGAGAGGGTTTGGGACACAATTGAACATAAGAGTAAAAGCAGGAGAGAGCATCACTCTGTACTGTGACTGTGTCATACCATTTGGATCACACATTGCTTGGTGGAGAAACTGCTCACATGAGCATCAACCATCTCTGTTAATAGAGGCTGGAAACCTGTTCACTGGGATGTTTCCACGTTTCAGTTTAGTGTTCAACAGCTCCAGTAACTCCTTTGATCTACATATTACAAACGCCAGTGTCTCTGATGAGGGACTGTATTACTGTGCAATAAAAGAAAGAAAAGTACATGATGTACACAGCATTATAAGCTCTGAGTACCAGTATGGAAACAGAAGTACTCATCTATCTGTCTTGGGTAAGAAAATATCTCTACTTTTATGTTACTTCTTTTGGTAAACTTTAAAGAAACTGTAGACTGTATTTGACAAAACCCTGTTATGCTGATGAAAAACTGGGAAAATCATGATATATATATATAGATATATATATATCTCAAGCGTAGCATTAGTTCTGGAAGGTCACATTAGTCAAGCCGGCATCAGCTGACTCTTGGCTACTCACTCTACTCGTGTCTACCTATAGGAATACGACCCCTAACTCAGCTTTCCTATATTGTGACCCAGGACCTATATGTGATTTTATACAATGTATTTTTGGCTATTGCTACAAATATACCCCAGCGACTTAAGACTGGTTTCGTGGTCCAGGGTCACATAAAAGGTCCTTCAGTATTATCAGCAGCTTTTGCGTTGCTCAATAGCTAATGAGCTGCTCTTATCCATGCTAGGCTGCATGGATGCGCAGGGAGTTCTTGCCCAGAACAGAACCATACCATATATATGATAATAAAAATGACTCCTAGCAAATGTGTATATATCCATATTTTGATAGATAGATAGATAGATCCCAAAAAAACAAAAACAAAAAAATTCACAAAAAACATAAAAGTGGATGTACAAATACAAGATAAATTCACTGTGGCAACACAACACAGTGGAAACATCCTTAAAAATATATGATAAACTAAGTAAATGTCTATACAAAAATGTGTAGTTACTTTCACTTACGTTTGATTTAGAGCCAGTGTCTCCTCATCCTGAGAGGTTCACACCTCCTGTATCAGACCTCTGCTGGACGCTGCTGTTCAGTGTGTGTCCGGTGTGTGTTCTCCTCTTCTCTCTCCTCTCCTCCATCTGTGTGTACTGCTTCTGTCAGAGGAAAACAACAGGTAATCATTCACTCCTGAACTCTTTCTTTTCTTTACCAGAGATATAATGTGCCAGACACCAGCTTTGATTATTCTGATGTTGCAAGATTTGCTGCATTATCATCATTAATTTACATTATCATCGTCACAAAATGAACAGAATAAATTGTCACAATTTTTAGAGGTTTGTGAACCATTATTAGTTATTATTTTTCTGAATTAAGTTATTTTAATTTCCTAGTTCCTGCAACAACACAGACTGAGAACAGACATAATGAGGTAGGCTACTGCATTACATTTGCACATCTTTACATCCCAGAATAACTTCTTTTTCTTCTCAAACATTCCACAGTTTGTATTTTGTATATTAATATTGATGATATTAAGTAGCCTACATAAATACCTTTTTTTCACAGAGTGAAGATGAAGTCTGCTACGCACCATTGAACACACTTTCCATGTTGAAGAGAAAGACATTGCAGAATTCAGATTTTTGTATTTACACTGAGGTCGGAACAAAAAGAACATAAAGAGAGGATTCTGCATCTTCACACTTGAAATAGTTAACCCTCGGTCGGGTAAACGCAATCCTGGGGTCTTGCTTCACATTTGACAGTTTATAATTAACCCGGGGTTAATAAATCCTGTGTATTTAGAAACTGATGTTTCACATGGTATCCCTAAACCCCTGGGTTACGTTCTTATTTGCATATTTGCGGTGTCGTTGACAGTGATTGGACGAACACAGCACGCGACCTGCTTACATAATCCCTCTAGCACTGAGCACCCTCATACTTTATATTTAAAAAAAAAAAACACTTTACATTTCTTTAAAAAATATATTTCAGACTTGCGGTAAAAAAAAAATTCTGAATGGACTTTTCGGATTATAAATGTAAGAATGAAACGAGCACTTCTTTACTTCTTCATTGACGAGTTTAATATTTTAAAGGGGTCATATGATGCGATTTCAAGTTTTCCTTTCTCTTTGGAGTGTTACAAGCTGATTGTGCATAGATAAGATCCCTGAAGTTGCAAAGACTAAAGTCTCAAAACCTGAGAGAGGCGGGGCATAGAGGACCTACAATAATGTACAGTATTTGAAAAATAATGTGTTTTTTGAACATTAAAGCATGTCAACATATTCTGTTACACCAAATACACAAAATAATGATCTTTAAAAAAGCATCATATGACCCCTTTAACATTTTTTAGATGCCTCAGTCGCTAAAACCCGGGGTTCAGCCCTACGACTTTATATTTACTATCATTACCTGTTATATCACCTAAAAACGTTTAACAATCTTGACTGTGTAAATGTAGCCATTGTGTATGCACATAAGAATCACGGTTATGTAAAGTAATAGGCATGAACGTACTCGTGATTTTTTTTTTTTTTGCATGAAAAAGGTCTGTAATCATTATTTTAAGAATAAATATTTATACTTATGTACTGTCGACTGTGTAAGCAGGAATACTTTATTGTTTTTACAGTGGAGCACCATTACAATACAAACCGACACGGTCTCCTCCCTAACATGCAAAGGCTGTTGTAAAAAGACAGCTAGAAGTGATTTATTATATAAAAACAGATCTAAGACTTATGGATTTATTTTTATATCTTTGAGTTTTGAGTGTGATTTTTTTTTTTTTTAAATAGAGTTCTCCTGAAAGGCCTCTGTGTTTACACTCCTATGCATGTTGACATTGTCAGTTTTGACTTAACTACATCAGAATGGTTTTTCATTCTCAGACAGGAAGGAAACCACACATATTTCCACTTGAGCAGGCAACAGACTGGTGGTCACACAAATGTGTCATTTAACAAATGTGAAAACTAGTTTGTGGCTTCTTATATCAGAATGATTTCTGAAGGATTATGCAACACTGAAGACTGGAGTAATGGCTGATGAAAATTCATTTTTTCCACCAGAGGAATAAATTATATTTTAAAATATATTGTTGCACTTTATTACTGTTTTTACAGTATTTTTAATCAAATAAATGCAGACTCAGTGAATATAAGAAACTTCTTTCATAAACATAAAAAAAATTGATCTTATAAAGCTCAAACTTTCGAATGGTAGTGCTGCTCTGACATTCTTCCACAAGACACACAAAGGTTGCACAACCTTTATATCCTCCACTGATCGTTCCACATATTCTGGGGCAAAAGCAGATGAGTTCGCAGCAATGACTATAAAAGCAGATGATATTAGAAATACTACCCATATTTATTTCCATTTTAGAAAAAAAAAAAATCTTATTTGAATATTCAAATGTGTCAGAAAATAAAGTAATGGAACAACGTCAAACATCTGTTCAAATTCAAAACCGTCATGAATTAAACACCTTGTTTTCATGCCACTGATTAAAACAGTGACGCTTTGGTTGAAAGCACAACGGCACGTCGCAAGTCACACACATGACTGGAGTTTTCAGTTGGCAGAGCTTGCACTTGCGCCTACCGACAGTACTGTCCGGCACAAAGTGCTTCGGCCTGTGGGATACTTCAGGAAGTGATGATTCTGGAGGTGTGGGAGGAGCCGAGACAGGAATGGAAAGAGAAGACGAGATGGGAGCCACAGGAAGAGCCAAGGAAACCGGTGCAGGTTTAGACATGTTCTCAGCATCCATTTCTGTAAGCTCTAAAACAAGCGTCTCGAGGAATGTCTTCCGTGTCAGAGCTTTTTGTTTTTTTCTCTCAGCCACCAGTTCATGCAAAATGAATGCATTCTCTACGGCGATGTCCAAAAGGTGATAAAAAACACATTGATACCACTTCTTCGGTTTATGTAGAGCTCTGTAATGTCCAGTGATGAAATTGGATGGTTCCACTGTCCCCACATTTCTGGGTGAAAAGAAAAAAAGTCCATATTTTAAACCTAAAAGGTAAATACTCCTGTGAATAATACACATGCAAAACTACATGACACAAGTGGCCTCTAAAAGCTTGTTTAACAGTTTCAAAGCAGGTTCAGAGTTGACAAAATCCAACAAATTCAAGCCGGTTTAGATGAGATTCTAAAACCTGCTCTAAAGGAGGTTAGCTGGGTAGCGCAAGTTAAATTATCATGGTGATGAATACTGCTAAAAACCAATCCATCCTCTTGAACCCGAATACAAAAACAAAACAGTTTGCTCAAACTAAATCGCATTTGGTCTCGTACTGTGGTCTCCGTGTTTAGCGCAGTTGTTGTTGCTAGGAAACGCTCGTTTTGTTTACTGTGTGGAGACGTGCTGAAATCGCGTTTGGTCTCGTACTGTATCGCGTACCTTGTCAGTGTCGTGCGCTTTGCTTGGCCATTTGTTGTAATAAACAGGAAAGTGTGTCCAGTTGAATTCAATTTTAGTTTTGTTAGACGAATATAAAAAGCTTAGTATACCGCGGCAGCCGTCTGACTGGAAGAGGTGGAGGTACTGGTCTGCTTATATCTAATGATTGGAAATTTAATCCTTTACCATCTCTGAGTATCAACAGCTCCTTGAATCACTTTCAGCCACTATTACCCACCCTCTTAAAATCAATTTTGTAGTTGTTTATCAACCCCCATGACCACTAGGTAACTTCGTGGAAGAATTAGATGTGCTGCTCTCAAACTTTCCTGAGGATGGTACTCCCCTAGTTATGCTTGGAGACTTCAACATCCACCTAGATAAACCTCAGGCTGCAGACTTCCACGCTCTGCTTGCTTCTTTTGATCTCAAGCGAGTATTAACTACGGCTACTCACAAATCAGGCAACCAACTGGACCTTATTTACACACGACACTGCTCCACTGATCATGTGCTGGTTACTCCACTGCACACCTCGGCTCACTTCCTCCTCACTCTTAACCTCAACATGGTTCCTGACACAACACATACCCCTACACGTCACTTTTCGACGTAACCTACGCTCCCTCTCATCCTCCCGGCTATCTGCTATGGTTTCATCTTTACTTCCTTCCCCTGAACAGTTATCATCTCTTAATGTTAACCATGCTACTGATACTTTCTGCTCCACTCTTACGTCTTGTTTAAACACTGTCTGCCCCTTGTCTTCCAGGCCAGCTCGTACCACCTCTTCTGCCCCTTGGCTATCTGATGTTCTCTGTGAGTATCGTTCAAAGCTCAGAGCTGCAGAAAGAGTATGGCGCAAATCACAAAATCCTACTGTACCTTAATCCTACCTTAATGTACAGTATATCGATCACTTCTCTCTTCATTCTCTGCTAATGCCTCCAACTGCTAAAAGGACATACTATCACAACAAAATTAACAATTCGCCTAACTCTCGCATACTCTTTAAAACATTTTCCTCCCTCCTTTGTCCTCCTCCTCCCCCTCCTTCATCAACTCTAACAGCTGACGTTATTTTTTATTTATTTTAATTTTTTTATTATCTGTGTTTTTTTGTTCTGTCACTGTCATTCTGTTACACTGTGGAAGCTTCTGTCACGAAAACAAATTCCTCGTATGTGTAAACATACCGGGCAATAAAGCTCATTCTGATTCTGATATATATATATCTTGCTACGTGTACTGCGTTAGGCTAACCGAGACTTGTCATCTGCACTTATATATTGTTGCTCTTTTGTTAGTTTTGACTGCTTTTATTGTCCTCATTTGTAAGTCGCTTTGGATAAAAGTGTCTGCTAAATGACTAAATGTAAATGTAAATTGCCAGCGACTTTATAAAATAGGTCAAAGGAAGACCACTGAAATTCTACTAACCTGTTGTAGTCCAACACTACAGCTGGAATGGGAACCTCCACAAGGGTCCGGTGTGCATCACCCTTCACCTTCCTCTGCACAGTATCACCTTCATAGGCTTTATGAAAGGTGGAGCACATCTGCACTTCCTGTGAGTCTTTCCACTCAACAAAGAGAAGATTGTCGTCCCTAATCCAACGCATGGTGCCACGTGGAGCATTCTTTGACAATCTTTTCACCAAGATTTTTGGGAAACCTTTCCTGCTTGGCAAAACAGGACCACAAGCATAGATATTTTTACCCAGAAGGTCCCTGAAGAGTGTGGGGCTGGTGTAAAATTTGTCTACAAACAGTTTGTACCCAGAGCCCAACATATTTTCATCCACCAATGCCATAACGGACTCATAGCTCAGGCCCTCGTTCTGTGATGCACGTAACTTCCCCTCGTAAATAAAGAAGTCCCATGTATAACCACAGGTGCAGTCTGTCAGTGCAAAGAGTTTGTAACCTCTATCTGTAGATTTGTTTCCCATGGCATTGAGTCCAGTTCTAGGCTGTGGTGCCACTATTCTTTCATCAATGGTGATGTTTTGAAAGGGATGAAAATAGGTCTTGCAGGCCTCTCGAATGAGTTGATACGGAGGTAGAATTTTACCTAACCGTTCATAGGCTGCTGTTCCCTTCTTTGAGTAATTTTGCTCATCCTCCTTGGTATTGCTGAAATGAAGAGTTTTGGCGATTGTCACAAATGTTTCATAAGACATGACTTGTGCAGGAAAGGATGGACTGAAGTAGTGGGACTCCCTCCAATACTCTGTCAGTAAAGAGCACTTCAAAAGACCTGTGTAAATTACAAGTCCTATGTACGACTTCAAGTCTTTTAGAGAAATGTAGCGCCAGCGCTCACCCACATCTTTGCACTTGGTCCCATAGACATTTGTGTGCCCTACAATAGACTGCATCATTATTTTTGGAAACAGCAGCTGAAAAAACTGCAGAGGACTGCTACACTTGTGTGGTAAAAACTTTGGCCCAGGTACTTGGACAGGTGTGAAGTCTGGCTGAAGCAATTCAACATCTGTTTCATCTGAGCTACGCCACCTTTCTGTTGATACGTCATCTCCTCCAGTAGAAGATGTGGAAGACAGACGAGATCTCTTTCTCTGCTGTATGTTGGCATCTGAATCACAGTCCTCCTCTGGTGTGTAAATGTCAAATGAAGGCCTATTGCATGGAACAAGCAGAAGAAAAAACAGAATTAGTTACATACTCTGTTGATTAAAATGCCTGTTCACACCACAACAAAGGTCCAGTCTGATTTTCGCATGCTATTAATCGGTTCAGACCAATACGTAAACATGGCAGATGGGCTGAATGAACATGCAAATTTATTGATAGTATGCTCCAAAAGAAGAAATACAGTGGTAACCCCAATTATTCCTGTACACAGCACTGCAAACTTTGTTACTAACCTGCTTGTAGCAGAGAAGAAAGTAAGTCAAACATTATTTAAATGTTAAACAGCCATTCAGATTTTTGGTTTTCACTATGCTGTTCATAAAACACTGAATAAAAGAGTACAGAGACAAGAGAGTCAGCTCTGAATTCTTCCTTTGCTATTTAATGTTGCTTAGCAAAATAGTCTGTTCATGAGTTTTATGGGAGTCGTTGGTTTTATGGAACATCAGTGGCTCTTTGCATATGACCAAAAGCGTGAATCTTATTGATTGGATGGAAAAGAGATAAGAACACCTCTGTGTGAGAAGAAACTGTCACAGTGACAGGATGCAAATGTTCTTGTCAGTATAAACAGATGCATTAACAGTTGTTCATTCAAATTATGATGTTTATCACACCAAATTTTGCCCTAAATATTTATCTTGGTGTAAACAGGCTTTTAAGACTTGGTTATGTCTAACAATTACTCTAGAGAAGTTTCAAGAAAATTGTCCAAAACGTCTCTGCTTCATGCACCT